GGCCGGGGCTTGAACCCTCGACCTCCCGCACAACAGTCCAGCGCTCTATCGTGTCAAAAGTGGAAGTTAATTGAAGTTGAATTGAACGAGCAGCGACCGAACCGAAAATTGAAAGAATCATAGACGCCAATGGCACTCGCAGTTTAAAAATCCTCCATCGTCATTATATTGTGTGCTTCCCAAACGATGATGAAAATGAAGCTGTTATCACGCGAATATAACCTATATTAGATTATTAGAATCTTTTATCCTCTCCTATCGTGTTCCTTCGTGGCTAACTTGAACAATCACTCTTCGTTTGCTCTCAGAACCTTTCACAAGAGCTTGTTAAGGACGTTATAAGCGTCCTCCTGAAATGCACAATGGCAAAGGCAAGTAAGCAGTGGTTTGCGTGATAAAATGAAAGAAATAAACAAAACATACTCCGTCTTTGTTTTGGTATCCTTAGTAACAATTGTCTGTAACAAATTCTCTTTGACCCTTGAAGCGTGCTGTGCACAACCGGATAAACGTAACACATGTATTTGCGCAATAAATACCTCGACATGTAACATATCTTAGCAGCAAAAGAGAAGAACACGTAAACCGTTGGACGTTTTGGTTCGCAATGGCAGACGGAGATATGAGTGATACAGATTCCCACGCAAATTCTAGAGTAAATCTTGGCGAATATCGGAGCCTTGTAAAGCGATTTCGACACAGCCCTATGGTTCAACCAAAGAGACCTCACTCAGGAGGACGACTTATACTCCAGGATGAATCCGTTCGCATGGGCATGAAAATGGTACCCTTGCAAGATCGTAACGTTGCGTTTCATCGTGCTGTTGCTCATGGTAATTCTGAAGACGTGAGGAAGATTTTGTCCCAGAAGAAGTACGATGTGAACTCCTTTGATGAATACGGATTCACAGCACTGCATTACGCTGCCCAATACAACAAAGTGTTTATCCTCAACATGCTTCTGGATTTTGGCGCAGAGGTCTCGGTGACGGGTGTAGATGGTTCGACTGCCCTTCACCTTGCTGCGAGGTGAGTCACGTACGCAATTAAATTTAAACTTACGAAAACCATTTTTGCTTTCTCTTACGAAGGTCTGATATCTCGAACCGTATTAAGTCTCCATCGCTAAAAGCGGCCACCTATTGGAATTTAGTGCGTTTTGCTCCTAGTTGCTCCAATTTATTTTTTACTAGAAGTGCAACACACCAACCAAGATGACGAGTGACGGGACCATTAATCAGTCAATCTTATAATTACTAACACCTCGTTTCCTTGTAATGTTTTCTTAACTGTGACCTTTCACGATTCACATGATAGGGACAAGTCACAATAAAACCGCAACTGAGCAAATATCGTTTATCTTTCTGCTACTTTTTATCGACTCCAGGACTTCATATGAACGCAAAACCCTTCAGAGGCCCTAAAGTCATCTTACTTCCCAGATAAATTCTTTTTTTGCATCCCGACTGGCATTAAGAGCTCTCCATCCTCTAATGGCCAAATGCGATCTTTCATGCGATACGATTCGTCGCCATAAAATTGTAATAGCTGCAGACCGTAATCACAAGCGCTGATGGTAATTGTGAACCTTTCATGGAAAAACAATAATCAAATTGTTTTGATATCGATCACCGTAATTTTAATATAATATAGAGTAGAATTTACTTTCTCCTACATCCGGGTCTTTGCATAGTGACTCCGTTCTTTTTATGAATAAATTAAGATCTAAAACTAATAATCCCGACCGGCTAGGGTCACGGAAAGCCATCTTATGGATAGTTCCTCAATATAACTGATTGTCCTTAATTTTTACGACTTTTATGGAACGATTTCAAAACTTAAATCATAAAAAGCCGAAATAAAATTTGTGTAAACACTCTTTTCAAAGAGAAATAACAAAGTGTAAAAGGGCCGCTTGGCTTGCTATCAGAAGTGTGTTTGAAAAATAGGGAACCAGGAATGACGAACTCGTAAACAGATACAGTATTGGTCTCGAGGAGTCGACGTAGCGCTCGTCTCTAACAGATGCAACATGGTTTGGATTGAAAGAGGGATAAACGAGGGTCACACCAGTAAAGAGAGAGAGAGAGAGTTTGTGTGTGTTTATCTTTTTTTTAAGGTCAGGTTTACTCGTTTGTATACTACATCCACAGGTAGACAATTATAGTCAATTCCTTGTTCAACAGATTGACAGCAGACAGCGTATTTTATTTACAGATTCAATTCTCTGGATGCCGTCCTATCTCTTCTTGGAGCAGGGGCTAAGGTTGGCTCGAAAAATAGCCTCACAGGTTCAACTCCCTTACATGAAGCCGCAGCATTTGGAAACAAAGACATTGTTGAGCATCTTTTGAAGATTGCAAAGGCTGACGTCGATGCTTCAGATTTCAAATCTGTCTCGCCACTTATGCACGCTAGTGGCTCAGGCTATAGTAAAATCTGTTTACTTCTGCTGCAGTATGGAGCTCAAGTTGATTTTTCTTCGGCAGAAGGGATGACAGCTCTCCATTTTGCCGCCACCAATGGGGATTCGTATGTCACACAACAGATAATCGAAGCAGGTAGAGTATCAGCTTTGGATTTCATTCTAAGTGACCGGTCATTATTTTTCGCCGGGGATCAGAGGAGTTTGGTTAGGTCATAATAAAATTTATCTGATCCCTCGTAGGGTTTTGTAAAATTCTAATGATTCCCTTTGCCCTCTTAGTGTTTAGGTCTCGATGGGCAACTTTCGAGAACTTCACTGAGATGATTACCTTTCTTCTGGAAAATTAGTTTAACTGGCGTTGCACCGCTCTTCTTAGAAGTACCAAATGCATAATAATAATAATGATAACAATTATAATGATATGAGGATTTCTATAGTGCCATATCCTATAGCTCATGGTGCTTTATAACACTTTGCGGAAGACTTTAGCTAGACCGCATTCAGCAGTTTACAATTTTTAAAGGAAAATTTTTTGCAGATGCCCACAATTTTCAGAATCAGGGCTAGACCACTACATCGGGAGCTACGTTCCCTACTCTTTGCGATAAGTGTGTGGGTTCTTTAACGTTCCCTACTATCCAGTACAGAGAAGATGCAGGAGACGGGGCCTACGGCTTTTCGTCCTTCTCCGAGGAGATTAGAATGGCTAACCATTTGCAGATGTCATAGCATAAGCTGCACATTCTCCTCAGTTATATTAAGACCTTGAGTATTGGTCCGGTCTGGGGCTTAAACCCTCGACCTTCCGCACGGCAGTCCGGCGCTCTACAATATGAGCTAACCTAGCGTCATTTCAAACTTACAATTCGACTGCTTTGCGTGACTTCCCTATGTTCATTTCAATTTTTTTTCCAAATAATACAGCAATTCGCCATTATTTTAAAAACGAACCCAATGCTGTCGCAAAACCTGAAATGAATGCTGACTTCAAACAGTTCATTAACAAATGCGACTTGGATGGCAGTACGGCACTTCATCTGGCGGTACAAACAGGTTCCAAGGATGTGTCCCAAGTGCTAATTCAGTAGGGGGCCGATGTGAACTGTCAAAACAAGAGCCTCCAGACACCAGTGTACCTGGCAGCAGTAGGAGGACATCAAGATGTTCTGAAAATGCTTATTTCACAGGGTGGAGATATGAATGCAAGTGACAGCCAACAGAGAACTGCTCTGCACAGGTACCCATTGTATAATTCCAAGGTCTCTCACAATTTTTTAACACAACTCAGTAAAAGTTCAAGAGGAGCTAATCTGAGTTATTTTGAAAGTGCAATTTGGAAAGAAACTTTAAATGGGTAAAATTTTTCCAACGAAAAAAAATTTATTCAGACAAAGATAGATATGAGTAAGATGTCACAGCCATTACTCTCAGCTTTGTTCTGCTGATCCATAGGGGCAGAGGGAAACTTAAAACAATCACACGCAAAAACTGTGCGTGCACTACTTTCGTACTCACAAAGGCCTGGGTGCTATTTTTGCCTTAATGTAACATTTTCTTAATTTCATTTTTAGCGCTGCTGCTTTGGGATCTGTGAAATGTATCGAAATCCTTCATGAAAATGGTGCTAAAATTGACACGAGAGACCAGAATGGTCAAACACCTTTTCTCGTGGCAGTAGCCGCTGGACAGACCGATTGCGCAAAATTATTTATATCATTTGGCGCCAAAGTGGCAACTCAAGACAAGCGCCTTCGTTGTTGCCTCCATCTTGCTGTGGAACAGGAAAGAGAGGAAACACTCAGTATGTTACTGAGTGAGACTGGTAACGACCTAGCCAACATACCTGACCACAAACAGCGCACGTCGCTTCATTACGCCTCGTGGATTGACAACCCGAAGGTAAAAACAACTGGCATTAGGACCACTACCTAGGGGGGGAGGGGGGAGCGTTTATTGACTACACTTACTAGTTTGATTACAGGATACCATGGATGAATCTCAATTTAAAATTTTGGTCATTTTGTATGCTTTGTCTCGAAGAAATGATGCTATACAAACATACATACGTACGCACATAATCACGTACATACATACATACGTGCGTACATACGTGCGTACATACGTGCGTACAAACGTGTGTACATACCTACGTACGTACGACCTATGTACGTGCTAACGTGCGTGCGTGCCTGCGTATGTGCGTACGTGCGTGCGTATGTGCGTGCGTGCATAGGTAGGTGCGTACATGCGTGCGCACGTGCATGGGACGCACATTTGCGTACGCTTATGACATTGTAGACTAATACGTAGCCCAACCTAACTCAGTCAATGAGCATTTTATCATATGACCATACTAAGTTTTTAAAACTCCACAATGTTTTTTTTTTTAACTTAATAAGGACGTGACTGGCACGCGTTTTTGTGACAACAACAAATAATGTCGCCGTTCAAGTTTTCTTGAAACTGCGGTGTCGAGGAAGGCTAGTTTGGTGTCATTCGCTGTCTCCATGGTGAAGCGGATGGAGGGGTGCTAATTTCTTTGAGCTAACTAAATTTAAAACTAATTCTAGCGAGTTAATCCTAAATAAACAGCAAGATAACTTATTACCTAAAGAACTAACTTGCTAAATTAACTTAGCGTACTTAATACTGCAATACAAGATTGAAATTCCCCTCATTTGTTCCCATCAAAATTATTCATAGGTGTTAGTCGACAACTAACTACTGTTCATTGAAGCCAACTGCACCCTTAGAAGGTGTTAATGTTTTATCTATAAACTTTTGTTGCGGACGTAACCGCTATCTTTCAAAGTGTACACTTTTTTCCCGCAGCTTTTGGAGCTGCTACTTGAGACAAAAGCTAATGGATGCGTTCGAGACGCAAAGCACAAGACGCCCCTTCATCTAGCCGCTGACCGAGGCACCTCACGCCAAGTCAGGGTTCTCACTCAAGCTGCGCCATCTTGTGTATGGATGCGAGATGATCAGCGGCGAACTTCTCTGCACTACGCTGTTATGAGCATGAAGAGGTAAGTCAGTCAGGTCTGACCTTTGCTTTAGATATTTTGTTGTTTCTTCTTGAAAAAAGAACGTACATTGTGGCGAAGGTCCCTTTTTTCGGGCGCTAACCTAATTCCTAATTCTGAACTACTCTTACCCTCGATAGAATGCAAAACCATCCAATCTTTCTCCTTGCCTTTCGCTAAAGGTGCCTGGGAATCCCGTTTCGCTAGTGCCTAAAATCTCGCGTAGAGATAAAAGCCGTAATAGTGGGTGTTTTACCTAAGTACTCCTTGCAATTACACCATGCTGGTACACATACCCAGCCCTGTCGATCCGGAAACATGCGCCCATGACTTCATTTAACTGTAGGGTTGATTATCAACCGTAGTTCAGATAAATGAGCCTGCGCTCCTTTCCCGAAACCTCTCAGTAGGATAAAAAGCCACATGCGAAAAACGGCGGAAATGGAGTCCAATTAAACTATTAACGAGGCAAATATGCCATTTGGTATCGCCACTACCCAGTTCGTCCCCAGAGTCTCTCTTCTTCCCGTTTCCAAAGTGAGAGGAGAGACCAAGCTAACAGGACTGCGCCAGTACATAAATCTCTGATTAAAACACATTATCCTGTAATGGTTTGTCAGGAAATCTTGCGCCATACTTTTGGACATGGGTGCTGATATCAACAGCCCTGATATCGTTGGCTGGACCCCTCTAATGTGGGCTGCAAAGGCAGGAAATGTCGGTGTTATGGAGCTCATTCTTGAGAGGGGCGGGCACACAGATCACGTGGACATTGATGGAAATTCAGCGCTCCATGTGGCAGCGCATTTCAGTCAAGTAGAGATCGTCAGGACATTGTTGAATTATGGAGCGAGCTTGATTGTACTTAACAAGCATGGAATGACATGCCTTGATGTGGCCATGGAAGCGCAGAGTAATGAGGTTGTCATGGTCATTGTCAAACATACCAGGTATTTCACCACCAGTACCTCACTGACTCTCTGACTTACTGACTCGCTGATTCACTGACGCATGGACTCACTCCACGACTAACTGGTTGCTTGACTGACTGACTGACTTACCTACCGGTCGGCTGACGGACTGACTCACTGACTGATAGGTCGACTGAATAGCTGACACCGTCTGACAAACAGACCGTTTGACCGGCAAATGGGCCTGTACTCTCTGAGACGAGAATGCAAAATTTACACACAGCAGTTCGAGGTTCAAAGACGGTATGTGAGTCACTGACGCACTGACTCACTTAACGACCACCTGGTAACTGGTTGATTGTCTGACTGACTGATCGGTTGACGGACTGATCAACTGACAGACAAACAGACAGGTGACTGACAAATGGACTTGCACTCTCTGAGACGAGAATGCAAAACTACAGACTCACAACAGCCTGTTACGAAGTTCAAAGATGGTATGTTCGTAAGAAGCACAAGTTCCTCAACTAATATTTTCATTTCCTTTACAGGTGGCGAGAAGCACTTACAGCCTCGAGTGCTAAATCTAATCCTATGGAAAGGTTGATTGAACATTTTCCCGACGCCGCCCACGTTGCCTTGGATCGCTGCATTCAGAGGTCTACTTCTGAGCGCTCCATAAAGTATGACTTCACACTCATAGATCCAAGCCCTGATGATCACAGTGGAGACAACGGTGAACGATTCCTAGGCTTGGTAACGATGGTCAGACACAAACAGCAGCTCCTCCTAGTTCACCCGCTCTCCCGAAAGTTATTGCTTCTGAAGTGGAGGAGGTTTGGTTGGTTTGTATATGGAACGAATGTCTTGATTTATTCACTTTTCCTAATATTCTTGACCATTTTTGTCTCAACGGAGCGAGAGAAGGTCAACTTTCCTAAACCAGAAGACGATGACGAAGTTGACGATGAATTCTTCAGAGAGAAAAATGAATTCAACAAAGCGGTGCCTTATATCGTCGTCGTATTCACAGTTTTGCATCTTGGGAAAGAATTTTATCAGATCTACACCCAGAGACTTCGTTATTTCACTGAGTGGACCAATTTTCTTGAATGGGCCTTATATCTAACTGCATTTTTGTTTGTTTTGCCTTACGTTTTTGAGGACACCGGTCTGAGAAAAAACTTTGAAATTTACTGGCAGATAGGAACGTTTTCCATTTTCTTTGCCTACGTTAACTTAATCCTCATGGTAGAGCCGATGAAGTTCTTGGGTCTGTACGTGACCATGTTCATCGAAGTGATGAAGACCGTTCTGAAGGTTCTGTTATTGTTCGTCATGTTCACTTTGGCCTTCTCAATGGCGTTCTATATTCTGTTGAAAGAACAGGTGAGTGGAAGAGAATTATCAACAGCTGTTCCTTGTGTGTCCGGGGGAATAGTGAGCACTTGGCAGCGAATAACTTTCTGTTATTCGACATCCGAAGTTCTCTCTTAATTACATATTCACAGTTGGCATGGTGATTCGTACTTACACCCGTCCTTCACAAATCAGAGCCTAGCTAAGGCCACAACGTCTGTTACCGGCATCAAGAGTAAGAGATGTGAATTCCCTCCCCTTGCCCCGTTGGGAGAGTTAGGGAGCTTACTCAAAGTTTAATATGGGAGATCCTTCTCCCTAGCTTCATTCCCTCACTCTTTTATGATGTACCGTTTTCATGAAGCTTCCTTTGGAATACAAGAAACCTTTCCCCATGTTGACGATATGTTTTGTTTTCTTGCAGGACTCATTTAACACAATAACGAAGGCCTTCATGAAAGTCTTTGCTATGACTAGCGGGGAAATTGAATATACTCAAACCGTTATTGATGCGTTGGACAAGACATCACCTGGCACAACTTTTCCACTCGTCCCTTTTGAAGATTCTACCTACATTTTCTATTTCTTGTTTATCTTGACGATGCCGATAGCTCTTGTTAACCTGTTGGTAAGAAGGTTTTTTTTCCTTTTTGAACTAAGTCAAAGCCCCAACCGCACAGAGAACCCCTTAAATTTACTTAGACACTGAGAAGTTTCTTTTGCAAATCAGGATAGAAAATCGAGAACGGTGTTGACTTTTGTCGTAACAAGTCAAGGTGCAAGAAAAAATGTCAAATATTTTGTCATCCAATTGTGGCTTTTTCAAGGTTAAATCGAACCTCTTCAAAGATTCAGATCATAAACTGCAACCGAGAGAACATCATCTGTAGGAAGCAAGGCGCGAAAATTAATTGTGAGGTTAGAAAAACAAACAAACAAAGAAACTTACTATTTTATGAGGAGCTTGAGGGGGAAATGGCATCTCCCTGAGTTCGTGTTCTCTCGCTGCAACCAGCCAATACTCTCATTCCAATTTTCTTCCAAGAAAATGAGAAAACCACATAAGGCACGCAATTTTTTTACAAAGAATTAAGAAATACTTTTCACGTGTATCTTAGATTGGTTTGGCAGTTGGAGATATCGAAGCTATTCAGAAGACAGCTTTCCTTAGGAACAAGGGGAAGCAAATTACTTTTATTGCCGATATAGAGAGGAAATTCCCAAAAATCTTCACTAGGCGAGTGTACAGTGGACATGTAATCGTATATGCTGGACAAGAGAGAGGAAAACTTTGGAGGTAAATTAAGACTCATCTTAGATATCTCACGGCGTCTCCGTTCGGATTTAAAAAATAATCTGACCTTGAAGACTTTCCTGATTTCCTTAGCACGAAGATATTAGGCCTATTGCACTAGAGTTATATGAAATTAAAGGTTCTCGACCCATCGAAGATCGTAAAGACTACATGTAAGACAGTGCGAAGTTCTTTAACATTCTCTTTCGTTCAATTGTGTAGAGGATTTTGAGCTAGGCTTGTACGTAAGCCATCGAGAATACTAACTGAATAGAGGGTAATAGACCACGCTTTTTATCGGTTTTAAGTGGCGTAATAACCCATGCAGGGAGAAATTGAGAAAAGTTTGTGAATCGCGAGCCAGAGGCGAGTGATTCGCAAAAAATTTTCAATTTTCTACAACTTAACCAGGGCAATTAAATGTGGGATTTTGACCATTCAGGCTAGAGCGCTCGTAGTATCCCAGATATTTTATCATTAGGAAGGCGCCTCCTGCTATTACTGTAATACTCTGTGAGTGGGGCAAGGTTCAAGTAATCCTGCGCTCATCTCTACCCTCCCAACCCCACTCCTCTCGGGTTGATTAGTATCCCAGATATTTTATCATTACGAAGGCGCCTCCTGCTATTACTGTAATACTCTGTGAGTGGGGCAAAGTTCAAGTAATCCCGCGCTCGTCTCTACCCTCCCAACCCCACTCCTCTCGGGTTGATTAGTATCACAGATATTTTATCATTACGAAGGCGCCTCCTGCTATTACTGTTATACTCTGTGAGTGGGGCAAGGTTCAAGTAATCCCGCGCTCATCTCTATCCTCCCAACCCCACTCCTCTCGGGTTGATTAGTATCTCAGATATTTCATTATAACGAAGGCACCTCTTGCTATAAATGTTGTAGTACTCTGTGAGTTGGGAAAGATTGAAGAAATCGTGGTCTCACCTCCCCTTCCCACACACCCCCAACGCCACTCCTAACGGGTGGTTAGATGGAAGCTACCCTTTTCATTTCACGTCTGAAATGATATTTCATACTTCAACATATATACATTTACCCAAGCTTTGGTAAACGTAACCATAAACTCTCATGTTCAATCCTTTTTAATTCTGTACCTACCAAAATTCAAAGAGCAGAATCGCTTTCTTCCTTTATACGTTTTATTAAAAACCCACAATTTTAACAATTTCAATCATGATTGTACAAGTTTTATTTTCAACATTTGAAATTATTTCTTATATTTCAGTCATATACTAATTTTACGATTGGATATTTTTACGATTGGATAACAGCCATGTAGTTGAGTGGGCCACCCTCACCAAATGAAGTTTACCTTTACCTTTCTACAGAAAAAGGACCAGGCAGGAAGAATTCCAAGATGAAGATCTTCTGGGAGACAATGACGGAGAAATTGACGATATGACTTTACGGCTGGACAATTTGACACGAGAAATAGAAAAGTCTAAAATAAGACAGAAGATCCTCATCGGTGCCACGGACCAACAGAGAGATATCCTGCTCGCTGTAGCCGAGCATGTCGGTGTAGAAGTTAATTTGCCATCGCGTATAAAGATAGAGTGAAAGCTTGAGAATATCTTTTGAGAGACAAAATGATAAACTTGCAAATGTTTTTTTTTTTTTTTAAGTTACAAAATATCATGTAGGGGACCAGTAATTAGTAT